CGCTGAGCAGGCTGGCGAGGATCTTGCATTCACAGAGAGGAGAAAGTGTGTGCAGATATGATTGGGCACGAAACACTGACAGTTGAGACATGGCAGGGTTGTAACAAAGCAGGGACTTTCTACGAACACACAGGCGCCGGGGCCAATAATCTGTTTATGAGACATCATCAATTATTGTAGAGTCAAATTAAGTATTAATATTACATAAATGATGCATTAAAAATTTAAATTGACTAGACAGGATAGAATATATCATGGCATGAGAAAAATTAATTACAATTGAAAATATGGTCGTGGCGATGGAGGTGTTCACTGTACACTCACACAAAGGCCCCAATGAATGGATATAACACTTGTTTGACAATATGTGGTCAATTGGGTGTCACTGTAATAACAATGAAGAATTTTTTAACATTTACTTTTAGTCTCCTCTTGTTCGGTTAACAAGTTCACAATATTAATAAAGCTCTAATAACTGCATTGAATATATTAATTTTATTGTTTTCAAGGAGAACTACAGTACAATGCTCGCGAGCGTGTTGTTCTTATAGCTGGATCTGAAACTGGAGGCCCAAAATTGGGATTGAACTTAGCGCTTTATCTGGAGGCCATAGGGGCGAAAAGAGAGAAAAGTATATGGCATGTATCTCAGGCAATCATAGTTTTTCTTACTGTGGCTCACCACGTCTGAACGCCCCTGAAGCCTCACTCACGACCAACAGTCCAACACAGTGGTCCTGAGGAAGATTCGTGCATTACGGGGCTCAATGTTGATTTTGCGGCCGACGAGATACAGCTTGCAGAGCTTAGAGAGCATGTGATTGGCAGATGTCGCGATCAACCAGTGGTGCTGGTAACTCTCTTCTCTGATCCTTCGGCTTACCTATAGAATCCACATGTTTCCTCAACTCTACATCAACCACTAAATCGTCTCCTCTTGATCTTCCGATAATTGTAGACGATACTATTGGCAACTCTTGCTGACAACTATGACACATCGCAGTAGATACTAATGGCGCAATCCCAGTAGAACCTACATTGGATCGTGTAGAGGACCGACATTATAGATTTGATTTTCGGACCCTTTTTAGCTTTCCCTGTGATTTTCTATATTTTGTATAATTACATTTATCATTTACAACAAATTCCATTCTTAGATTGATATTGTGGTGTGATGTCGACTGATTGATGCTTGTCGATTGTGATATAATATAATTACTATATATTAATGTCGATTTTTGAACAGGTGAAAAATTTATTGTTTCTTTTGAAATATTATTAAATTTTTTTTGCCTTAATTATATTTTGCGAACCGACCCTAGCGACGAAATTGCCCATCAAATTATAAACGTTAAATTTAAAATTTTGTGACAGACACCATCAAGCACTTTTTAGATTTACGATTTTGCGATCGCGTCGTCATAATTGCGACCGATAAATTTTTGGATCTAATTTGCAAACAAGCTTTCAAATAGGAAAACATGACAGTATCATTTAGTCGACGGATTTGTATTAATGAGTCGACAACCGATGCATAACACTCTAGCCGAAGCCAAAAGCTAGTCATCAGTTCTCTACGTAAGCACATCTATATGTGAGTAAATGAGCACTTTTGCGAACCTGATCCATGGTTTGGTCGCAAGATCTGAAGTGCGACAAAATGAAATGTAGGCAGATCGATTTTTTATATTTATCGCAATTTAGCGATTTTTTGTAGTGAATTATTCAATGCCGAAAAGATCATAGTGACAATAGAACAATCATTATAGAGTAAGAATATATTTATTACTGCTTATAGATCATCAATTGTAAGAAATTTGAATAACAGATTCAATAAGCAAAGCAATGAATAACTTCCTCATTCTAAATACAAACTTTGGATCCAAGAATGCTTTCCGGATCATTTAATAATTGATGGAAATATTTTGTGTACTTTAAGTTGATAAGTTTTATCCTCGAGATTGTTTCTAGTAAAAAAAACAATTAGCGCTCTATGATTTTCAGTTGCTAATTTATGCATGGTGTGAAAATAATGTAAAGCTCCAATAATCATATATCCATTGGTTAAAATTAATTGACTTGTTTTTTTAAGCATCTTTTCAGTTTCAACAAATGTGAAGGCAACACTTCGTAGTAGGTTGGAGAAATGAATTTGTCTCTAGTTACAATTTTTGGTACATCGAAAGAGAAAATTGCTGAAAGATTTAACAGCAACAAGATATAGATGACTTTTTTGTTTAATGAAAGAGCGGCGAACAAATTTAAATAATCAAGTAAATAGTTTCATTTTCAATATTTTTATGTCAATCTTTTCTCATATATCTAGTTTAAATGAATTCCTTTATTCTAATTTTTTATCGGGTATTAGAGTTGATCATTTTTAGAAACTGTTTTTATTTTACATAAGCGGGTACAAAAAAGTTATGGTTTTAATTGGGAAAATAAAAACTATAAACAATATATATTCAATGTCTAGAAAAGTAACAAAATTCCGTCTCCCCTCAACTCACAATATCTTCATCAAATAATATAAATTGAAAAATAAGCAACTTACTTATAGTTTAGCCAGAAAACACACGTTGATTTATTTAATAGTTTATTTATTATATTTCGGTTGTTGTAATTCAGAATAAGAAACATGAAACTAAGAAATTTTAAATAATATTATTAAAAAATGCATGAATTCTGGAGTTGTTTTTGCTGAAAGTTTAGGAAAAGAAACTATATGCAACTGAACTTATTTAAAGCAACATAAAAAAAAAAAAAAAAAAGCCTAAATTTTGACCTTGTAAGCTAGTTCAGCCCATGAACTTGCTTAAATGATTAAAATATTAACATATTGACTTTGTAAGGCTAATTTAACTCCTGAATTTATTTTGATTTTTATAAATTAATGATTGATTCAAGAGTAAAAATACTTTTTCATACTTAAATATAGTTAAATAACACTTATATCCTTCCTATTATTTAACAAATTAGCTTTAGATCCTTAAATTATGGTCCGTTAGAATAAACGAAGTCCTTCTATCGCAATTTGAGTCTGAGTGCCATTAAAAAGAAATGCGAAAAAGTCTAAAATAACGCTTTTTGTCCATGTGAAAATGGCTATTATGTTGTTATGGAAAACTAAAGGACAATCAATTGTGTAATCTTTTGTAAGGACCCTCCCCTTCCACAATGGACCATCCTTATCAAAATGCTCCTCAGCCGCATTTCTTCATTGCAAGACCACTATCTTTCTAACAGAAATGCAACTATGTTGTACCACATGGCTATGCAATTTTTTAGTCTTAGCACCTTATTCTCCCCTCCCGACGCTCTTCTATAGTGTAAAACTAATCATCCAGTCTCCGCTGCACCACAAATCGATTGCGCAGCCCAACATCCTAGATAGCTGCCCTCCCTACCTTTTCTTATTTACTGCTCTCTTTTCAATGAAAGCCTAACAATTTTTTGTGTGGCGTCGTCTCCACGTACTATTAATGGTTTGCGAAGCGATATTGCATGGCGGAGTTGCCAATTGCTTGAAAAATAAAAACTTGAAACAAACCGTGCCCTCAGTGGAGAGCCGCTGTTTTTGTACTGCATATGTGGTGCAAGCGCTCCAATATCAGCCTTTTTGGCATCCATTGCGAAGCAAAATCTTTTCTTCCTCACTGATTCTGAAATCCATTGATCAAATCTGTGAGGAAAAAATGCAGATTATAAACACTTTTAGGTCTCGTTGAAAATTGGGTGATTTTGCGGAGAGAGAGATATGAAGATTTTCATCTTTTCTATTCTAGGCAGGTTTTAATAAAGGGTAGCGATCGGATTTAATTTAGTCTCTCTCCTCGTTTTTCACTTCTAATTTGCGAATATTTAATCGGGCGCAATTTTAATAAAAAATAAAAGTGTGAACAATGGATGGAATGAATCATTTATTCTAACAACCATATATTTAGGGATTCCAACGTCTTTATTGTTTGCACTAATTAAATAGGAATATAAGCATTAATTTGACACAATTTATAGATGGAAAAAAAGTATTTTATCTTGATTACAATTTAAAAGGACACACTCAGATCAAACTTAATTTTTAGCTTGAATTATAAGTTTTAAAATCAATAACCATCATTTTTTCTAAATACTTGTAATTTTCAAAATTGTAATAATAATATTAACTTGTTCGACATGAAAAAATAATAATTTATTGCAATAATCTATTAATAAAAAGTTAGTTTTGAAATGTTTCAAATTAATATATAGAACCCAAAATCATCGGTCAAAAGTAAAAGAGGAGATATAATATACTTCATATATCATTTTCTTACATGCAATATTTAATTAATTTTTTAAATTAAATTATACATCTGATTACAACTATAAATTTTAGTAAAATATTTGTACCAAGAATTCTTAACATTATAAGTATAGTAGAAAGAATTCGGGACTAAATTAGTTCAAAAATGTCATCTAATCTTTTTAATCATTTTATACCAAGTTCAGAGAGTTAAATTGTCTCGAGGTTCAAATCTAAGCTTTTTTTAATCCGTTAAACAAGTTCAAGAGCTTAAATTGGTTGGTCTGAAATTTATTATAAATTACTTAATCCAAAGATACTTTGGCTATGAACCTTGATGTCCACCATATCACTGGCTTTGATTGAGATCAAAAACCAAAAATCAGAAAAATTTTGATAGAAAACCAGATCAAACTTATTTTGGATGCAAGGTTTAGCAAAAAAAAAAAAAAAAAAAATCTAAACCAGGAACGCGGTTCATGCCAACTGAATTAAAAAAATCAAAAACAAAAATCTTTAAAGATCAATCTATATTGATTTCACAGCTAGAAATGCATAAGCTGAATTTTAACTTCCCATTTATCTTTGATTTTGTTTTTCACGTTTTGGGATAGCCGTTTTTTTTTTTTTCTTTTTTTACAGAATGGTAAAAAAAGCAATTTAAAAAAAAAAAAAAAAAAAAAAAAAAAAAAAAAAAAAAAAAAAAAAAAGACAAATATTCTCAAACCAAAACTAATCAATCAGAAAATTTATAATACAACCATAATATAAATCAGACAATTGAGCTTCTAAAGGTGGAAATTATTACATAGAAAAGTTCGTTCCAGGTATCTGGAACTCCAGCAAGACACCAATGGCTACAGTCATTTCCCTTTTTGCCACTATTTCCGTACATTGAAGGGTGGCCATCTTTTCTTAGCTGAGATAATGTTGTTATGTCAAGCAATTTAATGGGTACCTTTGTATTTCCCAATACTTTTTTACCACAGTAACTGCTTCTGGTAAACCACCTGGATATGTTGTTCCACTTATTGGTTGGGTTTGCCCATTGCAACTTGACTTTGTTTCGTTCCATTCTTCACCGCTAATTATTCACCCAAAAAAGCAATTCAAACATCATCACTCATCAGTTAACAAATTGGAGATGGAAAATTTCTTGAATACACCCGTGTAGGGTGGTCTCATATATCAAGTCAATCAAAATATTATTTTTAATTAATTTAGTATATAAACATATTCATATATCGAGTGTAAGTAAATCTTTCTTTCGAGGATGATATGTAGTAATTTTCATTCACTACATATATAAACTAAAGTGAATTAATTATTTCAATAATTTATATATAGCTAATTCATATGAAATATCTAAATTAATTTTAATGTACTTATCCATAGTAATACTATGTATATATACATGTTTATAATTGAATTTTATGTACAACTATTTAATAATTAGTAGAATTAATATTTAGAATTATGTCAAAATGTTCTACCAATCAGTAGAATTAATTAGTTATGAGAGAATTTATAGAATGCTAACAATCACATTAGTAACTAATATATAATACATGTTTGCTATCTTAATATATAAAATATAATAATTATTCATTTTTCAAATTGACATATAGTTTACAATTTTCCACTGTAATTATTTTGTATGATAAAATTCAATAATTAATATAAAGATTCGTAAGCAAATTTATTTACGAGCTTGTTCATGAGCTAATTTGCCAGTCTAACCAATAATTTGTGAAACTAAAATTTAGTTTCTAATTTAGTTTGTTTAGAAATCAAACTAAATTTAAATTATTAATTGAAATTCAAATAGTTTATGAACAATTTGATTCGTTCTGATCATTTAATCATTAAATATTGAAAAACAGAGAATATTTTATATTAGGTTGATAGAAAGTTGAATATATATGTATAATTTACTAAGTGCTTACTTATAATGGGTCGGAGAAATGCCCTGAAAGAATACGTTAGTGACGTTGGGATTAATGTTGTGGTCTACCCACTTGGACCATGTACTGAGCCCCTTTTCAAAAGCAACCAACCGATCCATATCTTTCCTTATTGTTTCTCCTTCTTCAATGTAGTCCCATCTACAATTCAACATAAAATTATATATCTTAGCTTCTCTATTACAAAATTTTGGGCCAAATGCATACGTCGGGCTCATGAAATTTTCGGCTCATGAAATTTATGCAATTTGCATTGTGGCATTCTTAATTTATCATGATCTTACACTTTCACATTTCAATAATAGTTATATCCCTCTGTAAAATAAATAACTTTGCAAAAAGTCAATCATGAACATTCACTTTTATATTTTATTTTGCAATGATATAGTTATTATTAAAATGGAAAAGTATAATGTCATGATAGATCCATCGCAAACTTCAAAGTGCTATAAAGCAAATCGTGTTAACTTTACGGGCAAATTTATGCATTATGCCCAAAATTTTGTCATGTAATACATACATACACACACTTGCATGTAGAAAATTGCAAATCTTACGGTTGTTTACTTCCTTTGTGGAGCCACCAATGCCAAGTGTTGAAGATAAGCATGTCATATCCTTTCCAATCATTCCCATTTTCAATTGAATCGAGCTTTAAGACCCTCCCTATTTTTTCTTTAACCAAATCAACTAAAAATGCATTACGAGATAAATCCAAAGAAACATTGTATTCCTGCAAATTTTGGCATCCATAACTATAGTTAGGGTCGGATAGAGATTCAAGTGCATAAAAGGATACTAAGTACAAGTGTGTAAGGTCCTCAACACAGTTTAATAAAATCGACTGAAGCCAAGTGATTCTGTTCAATTTGATTTGATTTTCAGTATATTCTTGATTTTGGTTTTAATTGAAGTAATCAAAACTTCTTTCGGTTAAATTTAATTTTCATTATAATGTAGGAGAAATAGTAAATTAAAATTTTAAAATCATGCAAGCTATCTAAATAGAATGAATATTTATATATATGATTTGGAGTTTTAAATATTCTTAGTAGTTTGGTTAAGTTTGACTGTTTCAAAATGAGCATATTCAATTTAGTTTAAATATTATAAAAATCAAACCAAATCGAACCGTAATAGTGTCCAATAACTATATATGGAAACTTAAGTTTGAGTAGAAAAAGTTGATTACATGTAAGGAAAAGAGAGAGAAGCCTCCTTTTCTTTCGAGGGTGAACTTTGATTGGGGCACTGATTTATGAAGCATGCAAGTGATAGATTGCCATTGATTCAGACTTAGAGAATCCCCTACAAACAATATTTTCTTTCCTCTAATCCTCCTCAAAAAGTCTTCACCATCAAATCTGCATCAACAAGCAATTTTCAGTTTTCAAATTTTCAACTCCGTTAAGCTTACCAACTAATAAAAAGGTTTCAAACCTTGGTTCGAACCCATATTCCTTGGTCATAAAAAATCTCTCTAATTATAAAAGATACTCTTTGATCATAAAAAATCTCTCATTATAACTCAAGATAATTTGGCAAAGTAATTAAACTGTACTAGACCTCATCTTGTTATTTGCAACATGAGAGTCAACATTTTAAAGAGGGCTTCAACATGATCCTCCCAAGCAGTGACGGAGCCATGAATTAAACTCAAGGGGGTTAAAAAAAATTTCAAGAGGAGGCGAAATTGAAGAAATTTATTATATTAGAGGACAAATAAAAAAAAATTAATATTTTATGGGTAATTTTTTTTTTTTAAATTTTTGTTAGGGGGCCGGGGGCCACCCCTAGACCCCTAGTTCTGTCATTGCTCTCAAGCCCGAAAGGGAATGATCTCTCGTTAAACAATTGGATGGAAAGTGAAAGGATACCCTTAATAATACCAAAAAATAAATATTCATTATATATATATATAGCAAAAAATAGATCTAAGTATATATATACGTCTGAAATCCTGTTTCTGCATGCATGCACAAAGTTATGAAGCCAGAAATAAACATATTTTGAGGAGAAGATAGGCACCTTGGTAATGTACAGGCACGAGGCTTCCATCTGTACTTAAGATACGACTTATCTGGCCGTCCATTTTTCTGGCAATCAAATTCTGTCTCAATAAATGGGCAAGACGATGTGTCGTATAGAGGATAAGAATCATCGTACACCCAACCACCTTCGAACAAATCACAGCCATCCACGTTTGGATTTGCTAGGTTATCATATAGCAATTTAGCTTTGGATTGTTGAAAACATGAAATAAGAACAAAAAATAAAACTAAGTAGCATAAACCAGAAAACCCATGTCCTATATTTTTCATTCTATCAAAGAGAAAGAAGATAAGGATTGTGACAAATGTGGTGTGAACGGTTCAAGGAATGAATATAAATACTACGTATATATATGCTTGTGTAAAGCAAAAGGGACCTTTTTTGTGTAAATTTTCTTTAGCTTGCCTTTCTCAATCTTGTATGATGCTAGGGCCGGGCATAACTAACGAATCAACTGGATATTAGACTTATCTAGACCTGATCTATGGGTCCACCTATACATTGAATCAGGGGCGGAGCTAGGATAGTTATTTTAGGAGAGCCAAATAAAATTGTTTTAAACTTTTGGGAGGGCAAATATAATTTTTCTATATTTTAAAGGATTAAAATGTAGTTTTTATAAGAATTTTTTTTAATTGTTTTGAGAGTGCCAAGGTCCCCTTCAGACCCGATGGAGCTTCGCCATAGACTGGATCAATCAAATTAAAAATTTTTCTAAAAATTGTTCTTATTTTATCATTTTTTCATTAAATGATAAAAAATATCATCTTTTTAATAAAAAATATTTTTTTCATTCGTTTGGTTTACAGGCGAAGTCATATGTTAGCTCCAACTTAATTTCACCCACCAAATAATATCAATTTGATTCTGTTTGATTCTTAACATATTTAGTTGAATTTTACCTTCAATAGAAAAAGTCAAAAACTTTTGTTTGTGTTTGATTTGGTTTTATTGAGCCCAAAAAATAAAAAATCCACCAAAGAAAAGCTAAAATTGAATCTAATCAATTTGACTTGCTTTTTACTTGGTTTGTTTCAATTTTCATTTTAAAAAATTTCTATTCATTTAAACTCTTATACTATTTCAATTTGGTTCAAATTGAACCGAACAAATTCATCCCTAGTTAGGAGTTAGGACTCGTGTTCCCATGTTGTGTTTCGTGACGTAAAGTGGAATTCCTCATGATTTCATTGCACTACAATGTAATCATTGCTTGTAGAGCCTCCTTCTAAGGAAAGCTAGCCAAGCAAGTTCCCCTTTACAGCCAAGTACAAGGGAGGAATTATACGAAAATGATATAAAACTATAAAATCCTTCTTTTTTTTTAACCTTTATTCAGCAAATTAAGAATCTACTATTTTTATTTACTTTTTACGCAATAAAGACAATAAGAAATTGAGAAAATTAAATACGAGATAATCAATTAACAATTGAATAATAAAAATTATAACTAGATTTATAATTCAACAACTACATGTACTGAACAATGTATTAAGGTGAATAAGGTGGATTAAGGTGAAGAGAGTGATTGGAAAAGAAAGATATGAAAAATAGGAAAACAGATTTGTAATTGATTAAGTGGAATTGACAAGCCTATTTTTAGTATTAGAACCCTAATCCTAATTGCATAAGGAAGTGACTCGAAACAATTATAAAAATTAAAATTGAAGTACAATTAAATTGAAACCCTAAATATTTACTTTAACATATTGTACCTTGTAATGGGTTATTCAAATCTTAAATCATACGACTTAATTTCATTCATGCTTGGACTATACACCCTATTTGACACAGAATGATTACGTGAATGGAATAAACGATTATCTTCCAAGAGGAGTTTTGATCAATGACGTTTGATCTGACGAAAAAATTACAGAACTAAACTCTCAAAGAAGTTTATTGAATATGAAAAATGATCAAAAGATAATCAATGTGCCAATGATATAAAATAACCTATTTATAGGTTAGGTTAAAGCATAAAACCCTAAAAAAAAAATACAAAAGTCGTAACTAGACAAAACCCTAGTAAGGGTGGCGGCACAGGCATGTTGGACAAGACACGGGCGTGTCTTGGGCTTCCAGAGGCTAGCACGGGGCGTGCTGGAAATGACACGGGCGTGTCTATGTGCGCATCGTAGCTGGACCTATCGGCACGGGCATGCTGTACATGGCGTGGGCGTGCTCTGGACTCCCAGAGGCTAGCACGGGCGGGTTGGAAAGTGACACGGGCGTGTCTGTGCTTCTTAAGCTTAGGCGTGTCTCGTGTCTTAGACTTTTAGAGGCTGGCACGGCCGTGCCCATTCTTCTTGGGTTTACGGCGATCCAAATCTTCCATATATTGAAGTGCAAGTTGCTCCGCATCAATCCCCTCCACTTCAAAAGAACTCGACCTCGAGTGATCATCATCGGGATAGAACGTGTCTCGTGTCTTAGACTATTTAGAGGCTGCACGGCCCGTGCCCATTCTTCTTGGGTTTACGGCGATCAATCAAATCTTCCATATATTGAAGTGCAAGTTGCTCCGCATCAATCCCCTCCACTTCAAAAGAACTCGACCTCGAGTGATCATCATCGGGATAGAAAGGGAATGAATCAGCAACATTGAAGGTCCTGAAGATCTTCATGTCTTCGGGCAGGTCAAGCGCATAGGCATTATCATTGATCTTCTTAAGTACCTGAAAGGCGCTAATCTTTTTGGAATCAAGCTTCTTCTGTCCTCCGTCACGCTTCTTGTGAAGATAAATAATGACCCAATCACCCACGGTAAAAGATTTATAATGCTGGTGTTTATCAGCTGCACTTTATATTTTTCATTGGCAGCAGTGATGAATTGCTACACTTGCTTGAATACCTCCACATGCTTGGTAGCCAAGTTATTAGCTGCAATACTCTTCTCTACACCTGCTAGAAGGGAAAGGGGATAAAGAGATTGGGCTAGTACCTTCCAGTAGACAATTGCAAAAGGGGACATCTTGGTGGCGCTATGGATCAAACTATTGTAAGCAAATTCTGCTTGGGCAAGAGCAAGGTCCCACATCTTCTTCTTCTCGCTGCAAATGCACCTAAGGAGATTACCAAGGGTCCGGATCACCACTTCAGTTTGTCCATCAGTTTGGGGGTGCGTGGTACTACTGTAGTGGAGTTGAGTGTTAAACCTCTTCCACAAAGTTGTCCAAAAGTGAGCTAGAAACTTTGTTCCAAAAGTGAGCTAGAAACTTTGTGTCTCAGTCAGATATGATGGTTTTGGGAATGCCATGTAACTGAACAATCTCCTGGAAAAATAACTTTGCTATATATAAGGCATCATTAGTTTGTTTGTAAGGGATAAAGTGTGCCATCTTGAAGAACCTATCTACAACAACAAAAATAAAGTCAGCTTCGCGCTGAGTTCGTGGTAAACCCAACACAAAATCCATGGATAAGTCCTCCCAGAGTTTTTCTGGTATAGCCAATGAAGTGTATAGAACGGTATTTTGGGAATGGCCTTTTTGTGTCTGGCAAACTGAGCATTTTTATGCTAGCTTCCCTGCTTCCTTCTTCAATTGTGGCCAATAAAATCGAGCCTCTAACCCTGCAATAGTCTTATCTTACCCCAGGTGTCCACTCGATCCTCCACTATGGATTTCTCAGATTAACTTTTCCCAGACGGAAGATTGAGGGATGCACAACCTGTTTTCCTTGAATAAATACCCGTCATGAACTAAGAAACCATCGGTAGGCTATTTAGAATCAATTTTTGCCCATATGTCAGCAAAATCTTCATCCGAGGCATACAGATCTTTAAGAAATTTAAACCCCACGATTTCTTGCCTAACATAATCAACAAGGCTGCTCTCTTGCTCAAAGCATTCGCTATTGTGTTACAAGTACTTGATCTGTGCTTAACCAACGCGCATGCATCTTGCTCACTTTCTTCAGAGTTCGAAAATGAGTTAAAGCTTGATGATCATTGTAAATAATGAACTCACGCACCAACAAACAATGTTCCCCAGTCTTGAAAGCTCGAAAAACTGCATACAACTCTTGCTCATAGGTAGACCACCTTTGTCTAACTTCATTCAATTTCTCACTAAAGAATGCAATAGGCTTTCACATTTGTCTAACTTCATTCAATTTTCCATAAAGAATGCAATAGGCTTTTCCAGATTGGAGAAATCAACACCACCAATCCAATTCCGCAAGCATTCACAATTATCTCAAATGAATTATCCCAATCAAAGTCAGGTAAAGCAAGAATAGGGGCTGAAGTAAGCTTATCTTTAATCTCTTCAAAGCTTTTGTTTGCAGCTTCTGTCCCCACAATTGACGAACTCTCTCCTTCTTCAAACAATTGGTGATGGGAGCGATCATGCTGCTAAAGGTCCTGATGAACTGCCTATAGAAAGTAGCAAGACCATTAAAGCTACGAACATCAGTGATGTTCTTGGGAATAGGCCAGTTTCGGATGGCTTCAATTTTTCTATCATCAACATGAATTCCTTTTGAGCTAACAATATAGCCAAGAAATAGAATCTGCTTGGTCATAAAACTGCACTTCTTAAGGTTGATGTACAACTCATTTTTCTGTAAATGTTTTCGCCCAAGGAGATCCCAAAACCCCGGAAGGACCTCGGAAAACTTCTTTGAATTTTATTTATTTGAATTGTGATTTTTATTGAGAAAGTGGTGACAAAATCTTTTAGGAACGCGGTGCCGATAAATCGGTCTTATAAATTATTTTGAGTCGCCACCCATTATTTCGGCAATGGGACCGTTTTCAATTTTAATTTATTTTTCAACATTTTAATTTATAAAATGAATCCATTTAACCGACAATTTTATCCAAGGCAATTATTTGAAAAAACTGGATAGGGCACCATGTTGCAAATTTTCTAGGTAGGGAATTGGGTAGTCGGCCCGTTTGGAAGCACGACGCGCGGAAAATCGCCTCTTTTTAACCTACAATTTCTAATTGATTTGATTTAGAAAAGCCAATATTATTTAATTAAACATCTAACCTAAATAAATCGAACGCGAGTTCCCTATGTGGAAATTAATCCAACCGTCCTACTAGGTCATCTTCAATTAGCATTCCAAATAAATCATACATCACAATTCACCATTATACCTAGAAAATGATAATAAGACCCGCAAAGACCCGCTCTTGCCTTATGGTTAAAGGCGGGCCACAAACCAGATTTAATAATATAATTAAGCAATAAATAATGAATCCTAAAATCTTATAATCACAATAAATTAATTTGTTTGATTTGATTAGAACACAATTTGCCCATTATTGGTCATTTTCCGAATTAAAATTAATCACT